CATATTTGCAAAACCATCTTGAAGGGGTTCCCAGACCAGCAGAGGCCCCTGGAGAAGTTGCTTGCTTTGCCTGATGACAAGCAGCACCTCTGGCTGCAGCTGCAAGAAAAGTCTGAAGATAACTGAAGATTTTACAATTTATAACTCTGATGTTGATGATACCTCTGTTTGAGTTGGTAGGGCACACACTCGAGAAGCAGGGGAAGGTTCTCTGGCACAACTTCACCACCTATCGAGGTGCGTGAAGAGTGAAAGGCCTGAAGAGGTCCAAAAGCTCCAGCAACACTCGTAGTGTGAAGATCAACTTTCTGACCTTTATTAGAGCGACTTGTTTCAGCCTGTGTCCTTCATCAGGGTCGTCACCTGAGCCTTATAAAGGACATTAAGTTGATCCTTATACTACAGATGATATTTCTATTTTTGTAGCTTTTAGCAATATTTGAATTTTTTTTTTTAAGGAGCCTTTTATAAAATCTGGCCAGAGACAACAGATGAAAATTTGTCTTTTGGCTAACTCTGGCATATTTATAGAAATGTTTATCAATATGCAATGTCCCTGTAAAATAATAAAAAAAACAAATAAATAAAATAAATACAGGTGTTAGTGGAGCTTTTTGACCTCGGTAAGGCTCACTCAAAAAACCTTTAAAGTCAACTTCAGCATGATGGTGTCTCCCAAAATCTCCTGGATTCATCCTCCAGAAACTTTGAAAGTCTGTGCAAAATGTAATGAAAATCCATCAAGTGGTCGTTGAAATATTTGAGTCAGAAGCGCCCGTCCACACCGCCTGACTGCTAGCATAGCTGCTAAAATCACAACACTCTTCTGGGTATAAAAAGGGTCAAAAACTTTTATTCTAAAACAGGTGACCGTGCTCATTTATTCAATCTTACTGAGCAATAAAAAATGAACAAATCCCCTTTGGGGGGGTTTTCAGAAACGGTTCCCTCTGGCTCGTGCTGAGGTGGATGTGCAGCCGTCGTGCGACCACAAGAGAGGAAGGAAAAAAAAAAAAGAAGCTGTGCTGAAATGACTCGCCAACACGGGATCAATCCCAGCGGAGGTTGGGGGGTGCTGACCACCTGATTAAGCAACACGGAGGAAATGAGGGAAGCAAAGGGCTCCATTTTGTTCAGGAGGAAGAGAAGAAGAAAGAATGGGAGGGGGATGAAGGTGAGGGTGGGGGGGATGTGTAGGTGGGATAATATGTGTGTGTGTGTGTGGGGGGGGGTGTTTCAGGGGGTGTGCGGGGTTAGAGTCACAGATTTTAAATCAGTTCTTTGGCCTTTTTAACGGCACAACAGAAGCCTTCTGTGAGCGCGCAGAACAAAGAGGGCAGCAGTGGCCTCGACCAATTAACATTCCTGCGGCCTTTATGAGCAGCCTGGACCCGCCCCTCCACTCACACCTCGTAAAAGTCACAAACATCAATTCTTGCAAACCATAACTGTCATTATAATCCCATTAAAAACAACCCACTGAGCAATTTACAGTGAACACCAGGGCCGAGTGTGCGAGCAGAGCACGGGGATCGACTCCACGGGAACGCAACGTGGGCAAAAAAAACCAAATGGGAACGTTTATTGGGAGTAATTTGACAAAATATGACATGATAGTGACTGCAGTGCAAAGTGAAACACACCAAAGGGAAAAGGTTTGATCTCCTGCTCCTTTATCCTCCTTTAAATGAAGAGGGTCTGCGCAGATCTGTAGCCGAACACATGTTGATGTTTAAAGCAGCGTTTATACATGTTTGGCCACAAGGGGGCAGTCAAACACCAAAACAAGTCGGCTAATATTCTTAAGAAATTGTTTAGCTTGATAAATGCGAGCCCATTTTTCACCCTCCTGTCAGAGCTTGCTTTCTCTCTGCTGAACCCCTAAAAAATGACTTGCTGCTACACGCTTCCCTTCTTTTTTACTAGCTAGCAGTAGCAGCTAGTCGCAACCTACAGTTTGTCTGATGTTCTGTAAAACACATTGATTGTTAAAATCATCCGTTACAGGAAGGAGACTAACCTGCAGCTTCCACGGAGTCCGCTTTCAGTAGGCTTTACTCCATGCTCTTATTTTCACTGCACGTGCAGCAGTCCGTCTTTTTTCAGACGGAGCTCGCTGCAAGCTCAGAGCAGATCGACCCCGACAGGAAGTCAGACAAGGGACTGCACAGAAAGAGCTTCTGGTTCATTTAAAAAGAAAGGCAAACATATTATACCGCCTCCTGGTCGTTTATCTCATCTCTTTATACTCTGATAGACGACAGCACTTTGCGCGTCTTACTACTTTACAGTTGCAACCAGAGACCTACGGCACTGAACCAAAAACCAACATGTCGATTCTTTAAAATCCCTCTCAACTGTTTTTTTCAAAATGAAACCCAAGAAAGTTAGTAATCGCATAAATGAATTCCTGAGAATTTTTATTTCTTACTGATTCCAGAGTAAACAGACGTTTGCCTCAAAGACAAACAAAAACCAAACTTAATGTTTATTTATAGGAGAGTCATCTATAATTTGAAAATATATGCGAATAGTTAAAAGGTTACACAAATTATTTTTGATTCTTAAGTTGTAGGGAAGTTTCAACTCCTTTTTTTTACTGTTCTCAGTCATCAGTTCACAACCTGCAGGGGGTCCAGACCCCCCTTAGCTGTGGATCAGAGGTAGAGTCAGCCGTCTCTAAATCATAAGGTTAAGGGTTTGAACCTCAGCTCCTGCAGCTACATGTCCGATGTGTCCTTGTGCAAGACACTTAACCCCAAGTTGCTCCTGCTGCTTCATCAGCGGTGTATGAATGTGTATGTATGTATGAGTTCCTGATGGACTCTTTACTCTGCAGCCTCTACCATCAGGGAGGCGCCAAAAGTGCTCTGAGTTGTCAGAATAAGATGAGCACATTTGAACTTTAATCAAGATGACACACTGTGAGAATATTTTATTCTAAGGTGTTTGATTTTATGTTTTAATGATTGCATCACTGTCTTTCCTGTCTTCAAAGTTTTGACCTGTTGTTTTCAGTGTCTGTTTTTATTTCCTGTCTGTTCTTTAGTGAAGCACCTCGAGCTGCAGGCTTTAATGTATGAACCAGGATATTTAATAAAGTAGAGTTGGAGTTTGGAATCACTGATCTAAAATATAATACAGAGTAAGACTTAAGTTATTAAAGTATAACAGTGTGTGCCACCTCAGAGGTCTGATCCTCACTGACCCCACATGAACCTCTGCAGGCTCATTGTGAAGTGTGTGGCGCCCTCTAGCTGCGCTTTTAGGTTTTTCATCAGCAGTTAAATCAAACTCAAGTTAAAGCTGCTTCAGTGATATGTTCAGTACAAATAAAGACGAGCAAACCCTGTTAATCAAAATTACTTTTATTTACATTTATTTAATCACAGGAAAAGAAAAGGTCAGCGTGACAACATGGAGGAACAAACAGTAAATATCTCTGAAACTAAAAACTGCTGTTCTCTCTCTCTCTCTCTCAGATTTGTTTTCTGTCAGTTTAAGAACTTTAAAATTATTTAATGATTTATGTTTTACCCTACATTATCTAAACTAGTTTTCTGATTATAGGGTTAGGTCTCCAGAACACTTTTTGAAGGTCTCGGTCTTGACTCGGATTCTATCCCTAAATGTCTTGGTCTCGATCCCTAGATGTCTTGGTCTTGACTCGGTCTGGATCCCTAAATGTCTTGGTCTTGACTCAGTCTGGATCCCTAAATGTCTTGGTCTTGACTCAGTCTGGATCCCTAAATGTCTTGGTCTTGACTCAGTCTGGATCCCTAAATGTCTTGGTCTTGACTCAGTCTCGATCCCTAAATGTCTTGGTCTTGACTCGGTCTGGATCCCTAAATGTCTTGGTCTTGACTCGGTCTGGATCCCTAAATGTCTTGGTCTTGACTCAGTCTGGATCCCTAAATGTCTTGGTCTTGACTCAGTCTCGATCCCTAAATGTCTTGGTCTTGACTCAGTCTGGATCCTTAAATGTCTCGGTTTTGACTCGGTCTCGATCCCTAAATGTCGTGGTCTTGACTCGGTCTAGATCCCTAAATGTCTTGATCTCGATCCCTAAATGTCTTGGTCTTGACTCAGTCTGGATCCCTAAATGTCTTGGTCTTGACTCAGTCTGGATCCCTAAATGTCTCGGTCTTGACTCAGTCTGGATCCCTAAATGTCTCGGTCTTGACTCGGTCTGGATCCCTAAATGTCTTGGTCTTGACTCGGTCTCGATCCCTAAATGTCTTGGTCTTGACTCGGACTTGATCCCTAAATGTCTTGGTCTTGACTCGGTCTGGATCCCTAAATGTCTTGGTCTTGACTCGGTCTGGATCCCTAAATGTCTTGGTCTTGACTCGGTCTCGATCTCGATCTCGATCTCTAGATGTCTTGGTCTTGACTCAGTCTGGATCCCTAAATGTCTCGGTCTTGACTCAGTCTGGATCCCTAAATGTCTCGGTCTTGACTCGGTCTGGATCCCTAAATGTCTCGGTCTTGACTCGGTCTGGATCCCTAAATGTCTTGGTCTTGACTCGGACTTGATTCCTAAATGTCTTGGTCTTGACTCGGTCTCGATCTCGATCTCGATCTCTAGATGTCTTGGTCTTGACTCGGTCTGGATCCCTAAACGTCTTGGTCTTGACTCGGACTTGATCCCTAAATGTCTTGGTCTTGACTCGGACTTGATCCCTAAATGTCTTGGTCTTGACTCGGACTTGATCCCTAAATGTCTTGGTCTTGACTCGGTCTGGATCCCTAAACGTCTTGGTCTTGACTCGGTCTGGATCCCTAAATGTCTTGGTCTTGACTCGGTCTGGATCCCTAAATGTCTCGGTCTTGACTCGGTCTGGATCCCTAAATGTCTTGGTCTTGACTCGGTCTGGATCCCTAAACGTCTTGGTCTTGACTCGGACTTGATCCCTAAATGTCTTGGTCTTGGTCTCAATCCCTAAATGCCTTGATCTGGGTCTTGTCTCGGCCTTGGAGGACTCTGGTCTCGGGTTTGTCTTGGTCTCGGTTAGTGTGGTCTCGACTACAACACTAGGTGTAAAAAATAAGTTTTAATAAGTCAGGACTTTTTGCTTTTGAATCTTTATCAGGAAACAGTCGAACAGAAGTCTTCTAGTTAAACTGAAAATGAATCAGAAGCTGTTAGGACTCTTTACAGATTACATGTAAGAAAGTGAGAATGATTTGTGAAAGACAGCGTTTAGTGGGACAGGTGAAAAGTAGGAATAAAAGGTTTTTATAAATATTTGTTATCTTTTAACCCGAACATGTCTGCCTGTTCTGTGAGTCGCTCGATCAATCGTTTTCTAAACCTCGTTTTGAAGAAGCAGGTCGGGGGTTCATCTCGGTCGTTGTCATGGAGACGACGGGCAGAGGAGAGAGGTCATGTGTTCTTGGCACTGACGAGGAGAACTTGTATTTTCCTCCTCTTGATCTCTCGGGACATCTGGCACCAGGAGCAGGGTATGCAGAAGGTGGAGTACAGGCAGTCTCGACACATGGTGTCCTGCAGGAGGAAAAAGAAACACAGTGATGTCACACTGCTACAGGACAGGATCTCAAGAATCCACCTTATCCTGAACTGCTTTCTGGAATGAGCAGAGGATTGTGGCCTTACTTTGATGCCGTAGCGCTCCCTCATGGAGACCCTCATGGACATGCTGATGGGCCCGATGAGGCCCCCAAAAAGAAACTCCAGCAGGGGGAGACAGAGGGGCTGACCGTACTCTCTGGAAGTTTTACAGGTGAAGCAGGGAAAACACCAGAAAGCAAAACAACCTGAAGCAGGAACAAAAACAATACATTTAGAAAAACAGAAACAAAGAAACACACACTTCTTTATGTTTTTGTTTTAAGTGTTTGTGTTTAAAGGACCAATCAGTGAGATGTGTAGAGAGTGAGATGATAAAGGTATCTTACTATCTGATCAGACATTAAGACATTAAGGAAACATGCTATGTTGAAGTGCTGGCTTCTCTGACAACAATGCAGCAGCCAGTATGTCCTCCTTCTAACTTTAGATTCTGCTCCTGAATGCTCTGGATTTGTTTGGACCAGAGAAGGTAGGCGCTTTTTTTTGAAAAATGGAGAGAGGTTAGAACACAGAAAGGTTTACAGACCCATGCAGAGCTGGATAAACACTGAAGCTTCAGAGTCCACCACATGGTGACCTGAGTGAACATCCACTCTAGAGAGGAGAGGGGGGGGGCAGCTCTCTATGATGTTTAGAATTTAGACTGCAGTACCCATTTTAAACACGAGGGGTCAGAGTTACACATTGCTCCTTTAATGTAACAAGAATGAGTCTGGATTTCAGGTTTTCGCTCTTGTCTTCTTTGTTTTCATGTTACATGGATTAGAATCTGTATCATTACAACTTTTTGGACTTTCAACTCAACAAATAGGATTAGGTTTTGTTGTGAGTTTCAGGCTGACAATGCTTTTAGTTCATCAGAAACATCTCAGATGATAATCACAAGAAACGAGGAACAAAGAGCCGCATTATTTAAGAGTGAGCAAACAATGTCCCTTTGTCCCAGCGGCAGGGCACGACTACCTGAGATGAAGAGAGGGTGGAAAAAAATCTGCACTTAAAGTTTATGTGGTAAATCAGCTCCTGAGAGGAAACGCGATCAATATACCAATATGCTGCCAGTATGGAAGCCCTGAAAGGACATTCATCAAAACCCTTTTTTTCACTTCCTGTGATACTTCACTTTGGGTTGTTTTTGGAGATCTTGCCTTCTTTATCTTGGGATAACGATGCTGGTTTCCCCAAATAATTGTCATGTCCAGCTCTGCATCTTAAACTATATATTAATTTTTTCCTGTTTTATTTATTTGTGTTACTTACCTCTCGTCTCGTTTCAGATCCTTCACTTCCTGCCCTCATGTGTGATTGTCGACCCTGCCCTGATCATCTCCTGCTCACTTTAGTATTTACTCTGTGTCTTCCCTCCCGTCTGGACCAGTTTCTCTTTTGAGTCAATCGTACCAGCATTATTTCCTACGATGATACTTCCCCCGGTTTTTGGATTAGTGGGTTTTTTGGATTTTGTCTGCCTGCTGTTGCTTCGTTCTGCAGCAGTTAGCGCTGTCGCCTCCCCGCATGAAGGTTCCTGGTTTGAATCCCCGTCTGACAGGAGCCTCTCTGTGTGGAGTTTGCATGTTCAAAGTCCAAAAAACATGCACGCTAGGTCAGTGGGTGACTCTAAAATTGTAGTGTGGCTTGTTGTCTATCTCTATATGTCAGCACTATGATTGACAGGTGACCGGCCCTGGGTGTAACCCCGCCTCTCACCCAATGTCTGCTGGGATCTGCTCCACAGAACGCGAGAAAGCGGTAAAGATATGGATGTTGTTGCTTCTGTAGTTTTGAAAATAAAGACTGCTTGACTTCACTTTGAGGCTGAGTGTGTTGTCGAGCTTCTGAGTCTTATCTCCAATGTTTAAATCGTTATGTTTAGGGGGGCGCTGGTGGTGCATTGGTTAGGCCACGCCCCATGTATGGAGGCTATGGTCTTCCAAGAATCCGGGTAGCCCGCTTGGAGGACTTAACCCCAAAGTAACCTCTAAGCTACCGGCACCCTACTTAAAGTAATTCCCTTGTTGTTCTACGAGGCGCTGTGTTTGTCACTTTCCCCTTGTACACGTCTCATGCTCTCTAGATTTCCCTTCAGGATTTATGAACCTCTTTCTGTTCTTTGTCTGTATTTCCTCTTTTGATCATCTGTCTGCGTTGTGGCCGTTACAGTATTAAGATACTTGAAGAGTTAATGAGTTATAGGAAGATGAACTTACACTGAGGCACGTCGTCACAGCAGTCACAGATCCCGGACTCCCACTGATCAGACTCTTTTTTATCCATCACATGCTGAGGTTGATTGATGATCACCTTGGAGGTCATGATTCTGCTTCTGAAGGGAGGAACCAGGAAGGAGAGGTCACATCACACATACTTCATTCTGTTTGTAAGTGCACAAGATTCAGGAATAATCAAAGGGTAGACCAGAGGTCTTCTTCAGGTGATCATTGATGAAAAATAACATTATTTATAACGCAAGAGCAAAGAGTCAGAAAGTGCTTCACAACATATGTACATCTCTTAATGATCAACGTTCGTGTGATTGTAGTAATCATGTTATTCAGCAGAGAGTTCTCTCCATGCCTATAACTCAGGGTATATGATGGTTTGCTCCACCAGTACTGGTACTTTGTGTTTCTGTTAAAATAAACAAAGCTTTCTGTGCTCACTTCTGTCGGTCTCCAGGTTCCTGTCTCTGCAGTCTTAAATAAGATTTTAAACTTTAACTCTGCACTGTAACTTTTAACTCTTTTTATATTTTTATTTTATTTATTTCAATTAATTATATATAAATTATTTTTATTTGAACATATGTTCAGGTTTAATAATTCCAGTGATTTTTAAATGTTCTATTTTAATGTTTCTTTTCTTTCCTCTGTCCTGATGCTTTTTGATGTCTCGTGTGAAGCACTTTGAATTACCTTGTTGTTGAAATGTGCGACATAAATAAACTTGCCTTGTCTTGTCTTAAAGTTTGCTCGATATTTTTCAATAAGAACTTGAAGAAGAAAACTAGACTCATAAAATCTAAGTGTTGTAGCTTTATCGGTCCGGGTTTAGGGTTTGAATCCGGCCCCCGCCTGGGTCTGGATTTTATACAAAAAGACATGATACTAAACAGAGGAATCAAAATGAAAAGTCTCAACAAAGAGGTCTGAAGTTTCTTTTTAAAAGAGTCGAGCACAGATCTTAAAACCAAAGGCAGACGATCTTAAGTGTTGGAGCTATCCACTGTCCTATCTCTCCAATAAAGTCACAAAAAGCCTAAAAATAAATCTTAAAAAAAATAAAAAACACAAGAACATATTTGAGTATATTGAAATCAGGAATGTGGTTCAACAACGGAGTCTCACAAAGAACATCTTTTATAAAACCGTGTACTGTGGATTTTTAATCAAAGGTGAAGGTACCACAAACACTAAACATGAACAGCAAGAATAAATCAACGATCTACAGACCGAAAAGGATTTCCTCACCTGTGAGTTTGTGATGAGAGAGCTCGGAGTTGGACGTTCGGTCACAGCTGCTGTCTGTACTGAGAAGCTGTGATTTGTCAGCCTGTTCAGAAATACCTGCACACAACAGAAGTACTTTAAGAAAAGAAAAAAAAAATAACCGGACGAACCGGTCTGTCCTGCGCTCCTGTAACATCACTCTGCAATTTTTGATTATAACCAGCAAGAGGATGAAAAAAAGAAGGAGAGGCAATGACATGATGGCTGCCGATCCCAGAGTCATGTGGACGTTCCTGTCAGTCAAGTGAATATTAATGGGGATAATTGATGTGAATAATAGGGAGTAAGGACCACATTAAACGTTCCTGGCACAAATGCTTTTGTGTCTGCAGCCCTCAGGGATTTCCTCTGGCAAAATCTTTGTCTGTCAGCCAGGTGTAACATGAAACCAGTAGAAAATGTTGATCAGTCGACCAAATCATGATCTGTCTCTAAACTTAGCTGTAGTGTTTGGGCCTTAACCCAACATAAAAACAGTAAGTAGATGATGATGATGATAGTTAGGATGTTTGTGCTCTGCCTCTGGTCACTTCCTGTCACCACCTCCTCTCTAGATCCTCGCTTGTGTTGTTCTTCCTCTCTGATTTTCGTCTCTTTGGATAAAAGCGTCTGCTGAGTGAAATGTAGAATTGATGAACTTTCTTTTGCAGCTCATAAAAAGGCATCAGTATTATTTTCTATCTGTTTCATAATTAGCTTTAAAGCACAAAAAAATGGAAGGGAGTTCTTAAAAAACAGTACTTGTCTGAAGCCTGGTTCAGACTGCAGGAACTGGTTTCTCCTTCCCGACAAACAATCGACTGGATGTTTTCCAACTCGAGGCTGCTCTGAAACTGATTATCTGCCCAGATTATCTCGTAGTGTGAGTCGTATGAAGATCCAATCTTAACGTCCCCGATCTGCTCTGATTGTTGATCGTTATGAAAGGGAGTGTCAGAAGTCCTGTGTGACAACAATAACCACAAACAACAAACAAATTGATCTGCCCGCTCCATTGTTCAGGTGAGGTGACCGCCTGGCAGAGGTGTCAAAAGTATTCACATTCATTCCTCAGGTAGAAGTATAGATACAAGGGTTTAAAAAGACTTCTGTAGAAGTTGAAGTATCAACTCAAGCTTTTTACTCAAAGTGTAAAAGTTCTGGTTTCAAAACTACTTCAAGTATAAAAGTAAAAGTAATGTGAGGGGAAAAAATGCCATTAAGGACAAAAGCTTAGGCCGCGCCACAGGGCCCTATAGTGCACTACCCCACCTCCCCCAAAAAACATTTTTTTAAAGGGTGGGCCATAATGACTATAATGTTATATTAAAATGTTGAAACATTTGGGATGCACCTGTTTCAGATGCATTTATGCACATTGAAAATGAACGCTTTTTAGTACAAATACATTAATGAACCATATATGTGAACTACTGAGTATTAACATGTGTTTCATGGAGCTGAAGATATGATGACTTGTTGCCTATAAGTATTGTAATGGTGCAAAAGTCTTCAGAGGCATGTTATCAACAGCCTTTATTTGAATGTAAATGTACATCCAGCTGCAGGAATCTGTGAGGGCAACAGATGCAAGATAACAAAACTGGACAAGAAAATAGGTGTACCCCAGGGCAGGCTTCGTAACAATTACCCTTGTATGGTCAAATTCGCTCTATCCGGATGGCCCGATTTATATGGATAGGTTTTTGGGGTTTTTTGTGTGTTTTTTTGAACGATGATAAGCCGGAATGAAAACAAGCCGAAATGAAATAGGAGTAACGAGGCTATTTTTAAAATGTAAGGAGTAGAAAGTACAGATAATTGTGTGAAAATGTAAAAAGTAGAAGCAAAAGTCAGCGGAAAAATAATTACTCCAGTAAAATATAGATACCCAAAATTTCTACTTAAGTAAGGTAACAAAGTATTTGTACTTAGTTACTTGACACCTCTGCCACCCGGAACAATAATCTTTATAAAATCCTGTAGTGTGTGAATGCTCAAGAGGAATATCTGTTAAGATATCTGTCAAACAGTCCTCCTCCACCTTTTCAAACAGTCCCCTCCTCCACCTTTTCAAACAATCCTCCTCCTCCACCTTTTCAAACAATCCTCCTCCTCCACCTTTTCAAACAGTCCTCCTCCACCTTTTCAAACAATCCTCCTCCTCCACCTTTTCAAACAGTCCTCCTCCACCTTTTCAAACAGTCCTCCTCCACCTTTTCAAATAGTCCCCTCCTCCACCTTTTCAAACAATCCTCCTCCTCCACCTTTTCAAACAGTCCTCCTCCACCTTTTCAAACAGTCCTCCTCCACCTTTTCAAACAATCCCCTCCTCCACCTTTTCAAACAGTCCCCTCCTCCACCTTTTCAAACAGTCCCCTCCTCCACCTTTTCAAACAGTCCCCTCCTCCACCTTTTCAAACAATCCTCCTCCTCCACCTTTTCAAACAGTCCTCCTCCACCTTTTCAAACAGTCCTCCTCCACCTTTTCAAACAATCCCCTCCTCCACCTTTTCAAACAGTCCCCTCCTCCACCTTTTCAAACAGTCCCCTCCTCCACCTTTTCAAACAATCCTCCTCCTCCACCTTTTCAAACAGTCCTCCTCCACCTTTTCAAACAGTCCTCCTCCACCTTTTCAAACAATCCCCTCCTCCACCTTTTCAAACAGTCCCCTCCTCCACCTTTTCAAACAGTCCTCCTCCACCTTTTCAAACAGTCCTCCTCCACCTTTTCAAACAGTCCCTCCTCCACCTTTTCAAACAGTCCCTCCTCCACCTTTTCAAACAGTCCTCCTCCACCTTTTCAAACAGTCCCCTCCTCCACCTTTTCAAACAGTCCCCTCCTCCACCTTTTCAAACAGTCCCCTCCTCCACCTTTTCAAACAGTCCTCCTCCACCTTTTCAAACAGTCCCCTCCTCCACCTTTTCAAACAGTCCCCTCCTCCACCTTTTCAAACAGTCCTCCTCCTCCACCTTTTCAAACAGTCCTCCTCCACCTTTTCAAACAATCCTCCTCCTCCACCTTTTCAAACAGTCCTCCTCCTCCACCTTTTCAAACAGTCCCCCCTCCACCTTTTCAAACAGTCCTCCTCCACCTTTTCAAACAGTCCTCCTCCACCTTTTCAAACAGTCCCCTCCTCCACCTTTTCAAACAGTCCCCTCCTCCACCTTTTCAAACAGTCCCCTCCTCCACCTTTTCAAACAGTCCTCCTCCTCCACCTTTTCAAACAGTCCTCCTCCACCTTTTCAAACAGTCCTCCTCCACCTTTTCAAACAGCCCCTGTGGTCTAAATGAAACATCTGTGCTGTGCTTTGTTCAGAATATAACATGAATCAAGCACCAGAGGAGGTTTGTGACCCTGTATAAACCAGCTCTCTCAGAACGCTCCGTTTTGGTGTGTGTGTCTCTTTAAATGCAATGACCCCCCCCCCCCTGAGTTTTCCCCGTAGACATCACTCCTCTGTAGAGAGAATAAAAATGGCCGACCTGCTCAAAAATGTTGTTCTAGTCTGGGGGTGGAGTCTATGGGTGGAGATACCAGGGGAGGGGAGGGAATTTCTTTTTTACCAGAATCCCACTGTGACATCACAAGGAGAGCACATTTGAAACAGAGCATTTTTCTCTGTGTTGTAAGACTTATGCAGACCACAAACAAAGGACTGGATGGTTTATTTCACATGTTGTGGGTCAGTAGACTCTCAGGTTACCCACATATATGTTCAGAAACACTAAAAGTGGATTTTTCAGAATATGTCTCCTTTAAGACTCCTGCATTCTGAGCAATCACCTCCACAACCTACGTCTTCTTTTGAATGTGTGCAATTAAT